GAGAAATGGAAAGTACTGGATGAAGTCAAGGTATACTGGATATGCAGTGAAGCCTGGTGAAGGAAATGGGAAGGGGGATATCCTGGAACCACAGCAATGAATCCAGATCCAAACAGTGCCCAGGAACATGGATAAAGAGCAGGAGAGAAGAACCTAAGTGATAAAAGAAGGTAGAAATATTGGACATGTGTTCAGGAATCCTTCCCAGATTTGAACCTCACTGAGGATCATCTCTAAGCACTGAGAAGACCAGAACAAAAGGGACTAGAACCGCTGGGATTCTTCCTCTGCAACCTCTCACAGCCTTTACGATCCTACATCCTTCATCCATGTTTAATATGATCTGTTTGTTTTATCAGGATGACGAGGAAGAGGAGGAAACCTGTTTTGAATTGCAGAGCCAAAGACATGATACAATCAAGTGGTTTTCCTTTGATAGAAAACTTAACTAACCTGTCTGGATGATCTAATTGTCTGTAAAGTTCTCTGAGATACTGTGCTGTGAATCGATGCTACATAAACTGTGTTTCAGATTTTATAGGAGCAGCAGCTTCGTTTAGAGAAGGCTAAATCAAATCGTTCCAATAATGGCTCTACAGGAGAAATGTAAATGCTGGAGCCTGAACAACCACTCCGCAATGGATTTACAGCAAAATCTTGTCTAACAAAAGGTTGGTAATATCTATTGGCAGGCCTTATTAAAGGCGTATGGAAGCTATTTCTAATGGCACGGAGGAAAACAGGCCGAGCTTGTGTCTTCATGCTGCGTCTGCAGACAATCTTCGGCAGCAGAGTGAGAGTCGTGTCTGTTGTTGTGCCAGATATCCTCAGCCTCTTTTCTCTCCAAAAGCAAAATCTTAAACAAGAGCTCCTGTCAGGCCCTAAAAGCTCCATGCTGGTGTTAATCAAGACAATGTCCCTGATGGATAAAGACATCAGCTAGGGGAGCCCGTGGGGGGATGTTTTGCTGTATTTGATGAGAACGTCCTGTGGGAAGATGGAGCAGCATGCAGTGTTTGTATGAGAGGAGGGAGGGCAGGGGGGTTTCCTTCCATGTACTTCATCGTCACTGAAGAGGGAACATTCACACACCTTTGGGACGGAGCTCAACCGTTGTACCAGGGTACAACCAGCCCTGGCTGTACCCTGGCTGAGATTCAGCTCAGACTGCCTGGTTTATTCCTCGGTTTAACCCTTAAAGGAACACGTTTGACTTCAGTATTACAACCATGCATGTTGCTATAGAAACCCTGCTGTAGTACTAACTCCTCAGAAAGAATAGGATACAAGGTGCTGATTGAGTACGTCCGTCCATCATTCTGAAACTCCCAGGACTGAAGGGTAGCGGTTCTTCCACTTACTTCTGTGTCCATCCTAAAAATCCCTTTCAGTGGAAACCCCCCAGAGTGAGGCCTCCAGAAAGCATCCTGATCAGATGTTGGACATAACTGAGTAGAGTAAAAGCAGATCCACTCAAAGCTCCCCTTCAGAACCCTCAACATCTCCTTCTTTACTGGTTTAAGGGTCAAAACGTAGATACTGAGCTTGTAATGCCAGAGCTCTGCTTTTGGCTCAGCTGTTTCCTCAACACAACAGAGCATTTAATCCATCTAGACATCACAACACATAAAGATACCTGAGCTCCTTCCCATGAGGAGCAGCTCTCTCAAAAAAACATAATTGGTGAAATAATGTGTTGTGGCAGCGTTCCGGGACACGAGTCGGCCGGTTTGGATTGAAGAGAATCGTTGTGGGGAGTTAGTGGAAGATGACGTCTTTGATCTCTAACTGGTTGAAACAGGACTTAAGAAGAGTTGCAGCCAGATGGCAGCTATTGTGAATGATAGAGCAGGATACAGCTGCACTCCTGCCAGTGTTGCATTTAAATGCAATCGAATTAGTACTTTGAGTTATTTTCATGTTCTTGGAGAACTTTACAGTACAATTTTATATTTGATTTACTGTAACTCCACAAAGTGACCATAGGAGCTAGCCTTACATTATTCTCTACATGCTCCTTTAAAGGAAAAGTCCGCTCATATTCAGAATTCAAACTTCTGAAAGTTCTTTAAATATGAAATTATTCCATCCTGTTCAGTAAATGATCAGTGTTTTTAATTCAGAGTAATTTTCATGTGAATGTGCTTTACTGGAGGCATCCATGTTTGTCAAAGAACACTACTGCCACCTACTGGTTAGTGACGTCACGGTGCGGTATCAGCTGTTGATCAAGTCCCAGTGCTGTATCTGCTGTTTGTCACAACGCGCTATTATCCAAGTCATCTTGAAAACATTCTTCTTCCAAATGTTGGCTACATATTACGGGTTTTTTCTCTGGCCAGAAGTTCGATGGCAAATCCTCCCTCTTCAAGTTGGCGATCCAACGACCAACCCGTCCGTGGAGGATCAGGAATCAGAAAGGTGGAATAACTCTTTTTTTCACTTTTACCCGATGTATTCCAGCATCCAGCTGCCATGCACGTGGGCATTGTCAGTTTCACTATAGCTCTGGTGAATTCCAATGGTGAAGTCCTCTGGAAATCTTCAATAATTGTTGTTGATTGCAGATGTGTCTAGTAGTTCCCATTGATTTTGCTCGTAATCAGGTACTGATTAACGCTAAATTCATTAAATCGCCGTGAACGTACCAGTTTTAGGTATAAATAATGATCCATTGATTATTCCTGGCTGACCGGACTTTTCCTTTAATAAATAAGGAACTCTGTGTCTCTGTGTCAGTTCATTCAGGACAGACCTCAGTTGATCACACCAGATGTTGACTCACTCTAGGCTTGGGCTATGTTTATTTTTGTTTAAAGGAGACTCTTTTCTGTCCACTGTTGCCACATGCATGCTCAGTATGAATGACTCGATGGAGCTGATGGTCCAGTGGCACTACATGCTGCTGTATGTCTTCAGCATTTTTCATAATCAACCTAATTTTTCTGAGATCAGAACTAGAATCATGACAAAATTATACCTTGTTTTCTTGCTTAGAGTATTAATATACCTTTAGAATAAAAATGAAAGAACATGTTTAGAACTGTCTTTAAGTGTGTGGTTACAACTGGACGAGGCTGACTATAAGCAGTATTTCTATAATGTTACTTTCACACTGGGAGCGATTTGAGCAGCAGATGCAGCCGGTTTACTGTACACGCAAGTTGTCGTACATCTTGTTGCAGCAAAAGGTCCTGCAACACATCTCAAGCAGCAGGAGCCGACATTTTGACGTATCTGAGCATCTGTTGAGCATGACGCGCTTCCCAAGCAGCAGCTGCTGGAGTTGTGTCAGAGGCATCAGACACATCTGGACACACGATCTGACCCTAATGTCGACAAGCATCAAACATGAAGCAGCAGACGCTTTTTTGCTGCTGAAATCGTGTTTGTTGAGAACGTAGCATTAATGAGGTGCCTATAACTGTCATGCAGTGTTTTGGGTGACATCTGTTTCAACGAGCTGACATCATGGAAAATCAACCTTTGAACGTTAAACTATGTCATAACGCTAAAAATGCCCAAAGAGCTATTTTGTTAAATTCATGCATGTCCCTGAATAAATTAATTCTGCTCTCTCAGCAGCTCCATTCTACATAAAGCAGTGATTACCCAACCCATCCAGGAAGCACCTACAGTAGCTTGACTGTGTTGCACCTGCTAACTAGACCCAGTTTCTGCTATTAGTGAGGGGCGAAGTCAGACAGAGCCTGGTCCTTCCTCCGTAAATGGAAATTAGGAAGGGGGCGTGATCGATACTAAATAAGTAGCGAATGCCGTGATTTTTTCATGGTTCTTCGAGATAATTGGAGTTTTTGTTTCCCAAAGATCGATAAATGGATGTTTGTGGATACAGTTGTGCTTATTTTGCTGTTCAGACATTTACAACAGGCAAAACTGCGCTTCGGCGCAACTGAGATACATGAAAATGTGACAATCATGTTTCAGATCAGTTTCAGTATCAGCTGTGTTTTTAAATGAGTAGATAGATATCAAATTAGTCCTGGCTTCACTTTCTCCTCTGTTGGTTGCAGATGGTGTTGTAGTATTTGTAGACTGCTTTACAGTTAGTCATTGTTCAACTGGCCCGGAGCTCGTCTGAGTGGCTGTGTTTCCTGGACGGTGCTGCCTTTTTGTATTACTGCTTCTGTCTCCTTGAACCCCAGTCGGCCTCAGCAGATGGCCGCTCACACGGGAGTTTTTCCTCTCCACTGTCGCTACAAGCATGCTTAGTGTGAGGGATTGCCTTCGAGTCAAGAGTCCATGCAATCAGCTGGTTTTCCTTAGATAGAAAACTTTGAATCAATCTGACTGGATGATCTGGTGAACTGGAAAGTACCTTGAGATGACATGTGTTGTAAATTGGTGCTATAGAAATAAACTGAATTGAAATTGAACTTGTTCTAAATGTAACAATAAAGCTTCACCTTTAGCAGTAAGCTCGTTATACTATCTGATTGTTTGAATTTACCTATGAAACATAATATTGTATCTAAAAAGAATCTCATGTCTCCTTTATGAAATTTCCACCTCTAGTCAAGCACACATTCTTCCCATAATCAGGACAAAAGTAGTAATGGAAAAAAGAGGAAAATTTAGCTGAATTCCGCATCAAAATGCAGGAAACAGCGTTTCAGAGAATCTAAATTTCATATTTGCTGCATGTGTTACACCAAGGTGTAAACCCAATAAAATACTCCTAGCTAAAAGCTTCATATAGAAACTACTGCATATGGCCTTTCTTTTCCAAGGTCTATCACATTAGATGTTTGGGAATGTTGGAGTTACCAAAGAAACTGAACTCAAGTCTTCATTTGAAGGGCATGTAATGGTAAAGGCATCATTTGACTCCGTTTCTTATCATTTCACTTTGCCTGATAGTAACCTTTGTTGGAGGATCGGAAAGTGGGACAAAAATGCAACAAACCAATATATGAAGAGAGCAATAGTGTTTCAAGCGGCGAACAGAAGCCTCCTGGGATCAGAGAAGCAGTACTCACTCATCGTCTGGCGTTAGCTGCACTGGTTCGTTGGTAAACTGCGTGTCAAAGTTTTCCAAGCCAAACTCATCAGAGCTTTGAGGTTTGAAGGGCGGCGTCATCTCTTTCTTTTCCAGCTGAAGAAAAACAAACCCATTAACATGTCATCATCATCATCATCATCATCATCATCATCATCATCATACGATGACCATAGAGAAAAGAAAAAGACAGCGGTAAGCATCATTTTAATTTGTTTTCAATGCAGCCTTTATCTTCTGTTTCTCATTGCTGCAGTTTTACTTAAATTATTTTTTCAATTTACCTCGGTAAAACGAAGCCATTTATAAAACAACATATTCCTTCAGTGAGTTCCTAAAGGGAGTAAAATATGTATTTTGGCAAGGCATTAAATATTGAGGCTGCAGCCTCTCAGAGTGTCCCTGTATCTGAATAGCATTAATCAGCTTGAGACTGAGGGTTAATCTAGTCCTTTTGTCACGTTCACATGGTGGACTGAGCTGCTCACGATTTCCTTCAAAACACTAACATAGCTGGAGAACAGCAATGCTGGAAATATGATGGTTTTTTTCCCTTTTTCTACGCTCAATGCCACTAATCTTCCTGCCTTTTGTTACCAATGTAGAAAAAGTCCCAGAAATATTTGTCCTTCATGTCTCTCATCAGAACTTAATATGTTTTTCCCACCTTCGAACTTTTGTAGTTTTTCCTGCTCATCTGCTGCTAAAGCTGCGCCTCAGAGCTGCTGTGTGATTGTAAATTTGCTTAAAATCAGTGGAAGCTTTCCTGTTGCAGCAAACTCAAAACACTGGATGTTTTTGTTTGACCCAAAGCATGTCGGAGGAAAGGAAAAAAACAGCCTTGCACATGTTAAATGGTTAAGCAAACATAAACACTGTTCTATTCCGTCTTTATGCTCAGATGTGCTGCAGAAAAAAACAAAATAAAGAGTGATTTTTTGGGAAGTGTCGGCAGTGACGGCAGGACCGCTCATGGATAGAAAAACAACAGCATGCTGGATGTAGAGGCAGTAGAATAATTGAGCTGCAGTGATTCAGCTGGGAGAGTTTTTGTCTGCTGTGTTTCCATGGTTTCACATCACTAACTCACCCTTTTCAAATCTGTGCTGGGGACATTTTCCTAGAACACTAACATGTACTCCGTTTCCTTCCTCATACTGTTTGGGACGGTTTGCTCGGTCACGACTGGGGCGGGGGGGCTTAACCCGAGGAGAAGACTGAAAAACCTTTTCAGCTACATTTTAAGTTTGACAGAGCGAGGTGATATCTGAACCAAAACTCCCAGTTTCTTTAAAAACGAACATTAATAGCACCAGAATGGCAAAATACCAGGATTAGCTAAACCAATTCATGAGTTTCAGGTGAACGAATCCTGCTGCAGAGACCAGTGTTGTTTCTCAGTTCACAAGAACGCAGGTATGGACTCGTGTTCTCGCCAAGTATGTTCTTGAGAAGAACAGAAAAGTCTGGACTCTGGGAGAACGGGAGGACGCAAAAATAGGGTGGACTCTATTTTTAAGGGGAATGCAAGTGATCAAAAACGGTAACTTGCCCTATATAGGCTTAAGGTCACAACTGATGGGTTAATGGATATAGACAGAGATAAGCTGAGAAACCACTGTGGGCCAAAGCTGCCTGCCTCTGTGTCCAGAAACATGACCTATGAATGAAGGAAACACCAAGGAGCTCCCCAGAGGGAGGGAATGGGGAAAAGTTGGGAGCCTTCCATAAAGTGCAAATCAGTAGGGGCTCTTTTGCCAAAAGAAGGAAATGTGTCAGCGGTCAACAAAGTTCTATCCGAATAGTCCTGGCAATAAAAGAGAAGCTAGGAAGAGCAAGGAGGCTTGCAGGATCCCAATGTTCCTATCTGTCATGGTTTACCCACAATCCTTCTCTGGACATACACCTGCAACTTTTTTTTTTTTTATATAATTTTTTATTTAGAAAGACAGATTTCCATTACATCAGTAATCACAGCTTCATGCATTCAAGATTATAACTAAAGATATAGGCAGAAAGTCCAAGTGATTTTGTCCATGTTGCCTTTCTGGTATTTTTAACAGAATATCACTAACTTAGTTGTAAAGATAACAAAAAATGAACAGAATTAAACAGTAATGGGGATTGCACCACTCAAGTAATAAAAACCACAAAGACATTAGAGGGCAAGACATATTTCAGAATAACAATCAAATGAAGTCGGATCTAATTGGTTTCACGTACTCAGTCCATTTGGACCAAATCTTATAAAACTTTTCTTTTTCTAATTGGAGGGAAAAACAGATCCTTTCCATCACATAAATCTGGTAAACAATTTCAATCCATTCATCAATAGTGGGTGGGTCTGGTTTCATCCATTTCCTCGTGATGGCCTTCTTACTGGCAGCCAGTAGTGTAGCCAGAAGTTTTTTGTCTTTGTTAGTCCTTGTGTCCAATTGTAGATTTCCCAGGTACAATGCTTCACATTTTAATGGAATACTTACATTGAATATATTTTCAATATGTTTGTGGAACTCTTCCCAATATGGTTTTATTACCTGACAGTCCCAAAAAATGTGAAAGTGGTTCGCTCCTTCAGACCCACAGAGTCTCCAGCAGGCGTCCCCATTGTTTTGATATCGTCTCTGAATGGGTGTAACAAAAAATCGCATAATGTTTTTCCAGCCGAACTCCCGCCATGTGTTTGATCTGGTCGAGACCCACTGCAATTGACAAACATCCTCCCAGCTCTCTTGTGAGATTTTAACCTTAATTTCTTTTTCCCACTTCCTCTTTATGTATTCTGTATTCTCTTGTTTAGACAGCTGTATGGCCTTATATAATTTGGAGATGATTTTGCCGTCTGATCCGGGTTTAATTAGTGATAAAAATGCCTCCATGAAACTTGACTCGCTCTTTTTCAGCACCTCTTTAAGGTTACTGTTGAAATAGTGTCTCACCTGCAAGTACCTAAAGAAATCCTCTTTTCCCAGTTTATGATCTTTCTGTAAGGTTTCAAAACTTTGAAATATCCCTTTGTGGACAAATGAATAGTAGGAAGTTAATCCTTTAGAGATCCATAGTTTGAATCTGTCATCCAGTCTATTTGGTGCAAAATCCGAATCATAGGCACACCACCTCATGATTTTAGACGCGTCTCCTATTCTGCAAATTTTAGCCAATTCCTGCCAGGACTTGAAAAAACTACCTGTTATGGAGTCGTCTGGGATCTGCTGTTCTTCCTGTAATTTATAATCATAAAGAAGGGCTGTTATTGGGATTCCTGTTATTGTCGTGCCTTCTATTTCTTTCCAGGCTGCGGTGTATGATGGTGAACAGAGACAGACTAAAGGTCTCAGCTGGGCTGCATGATAGTATTCCTGTAGACAGGGAAGGCCCATCCCACCCTTTTCTTTTTTTAATTGCAAAGTTCTAAACTTAATTCTGGCCTTTTTACCCTGCCATAAATACCTCGCTATTAATCTATCCCATTCTAAAAACTGTTGAGGTGGGATTTTGACTGGTAGACATTGAAATAAGTAGAGCATCTGTGGAAGGATGTTCATCCTGATGGATTCTATCCGGGAGCTTAAACTTAAAAAAGGAATAACGTTCCATCTATGTAAGTCTGATTTTATTTTCGAATTTAGTGGTCCGTAATTTTTATCAAACAGTTTTGAGAGGTCTTTCGGTAGTGAAACACCCAAATATTTGATAGATTCAGCCTCCCAATTCCAATTGTACATAGTTTTAATTGAAGGTGGTGGATCATAGTTAAATATTAATACCTGAGTTTTATTTATATTTATTCTATAACCAGAAATTAAACTGAACTCTTCGAGCAACATCATCAGTTTTGGTATAGTCTGTGTGGGCTGTGTTATACTTATCAATAGATCGTCAGCGAACAAGGATAGTTTTTGCTCCCCAGATGTCATCGTAACCCCTTTTATATCCGGCCTCTGCCTGATCAGTTGGCTCATGGGCTCAATAAACAAGGCGAAGAGAAGTGGCGACGCACAACACCCCTGTCTCGTTCCCCTTTCCAAGATGAATGAGTTTGTCAGGTCTCCGTTAATTTTAATTCTAGCCGTTGGTTTACTATACAACGATCTAAATGTGTCAATTATTGTTGTATGAAATCCAAATTTTGAGAGCACTTTATATAAAAACGACCATCCCACCGAATCAAATGCTTTCTCTGCGTCTAGGCTTAATATCAACGCCTCTAGTTTTTGCTGTGTGATTTCTCTCATAATGTGCAATGTTTTCCTGATATTATCTTGGGTCTGTCTTTGTCTGACAAAGCCAATCTGGTCCTTGTGTATTAGAGCTGGTAATATGACTTCTATTCTTTTTGATAATATGGAGGTGAAAATTTTATAGTCATTGTTTAGGAGACTTACAGGGCGATAACTCCCGCAATCCAACTTGTCTTTCCCTTCCTTGGGTATGATTGAAATCACTGCCTCTCGCCATGAGGGGGGAATGTTTTTATTTTCTAAAACCCAGTTGAATGTTTTCTCTAATATAGGAATTAATTGGTCTTGCATAACTTTATACCATTCTGTAGTGAATCCATCTGTCCCTGGAGATTTTCCCTTCTTGGTTCTCTTGATTGCTGATTGAATTTCCTCTTTTGTAATTTTGGATATTAATTTCTTATTTTGTTCGTCAGTGATCGTTGGAAGATTGATCTCTTCCAGGAAGGTATTGATCTGACTGTCGCTGCTTGTATTTGGTTGGGTATATAGTGTTTTATAGTATTATTGGAAGCAGTTTTTGATCTCTTCTGGATTAGTTTCTATTTTCTTTGTTACATTGTTTCTTATTTTGTGTATAGTTCTGTTGGCTTGTTGTTTTCTTAACCTATATGATAAAAGTTTCAGGGATTTTCCATTTGTCTCATAGTATTGGTGTTTTATAAAAGTAAGCTTTTTTTGGATTTCATGAGTGTTTATTTCTTCTATTTCTTTTTTTAGTTTTTTAATTTTATGTTTGGTATTGTCACCTTTGGGAGACTTTGTATGTTCTCTCTGTAGTCTTTTCAGATCCTCTTCTAATTCCTGCAGTTTATTTTCTCTGATTCTTTTCTCATATGATGTTATGGATATGAT